CTTAGTTTGAGTGAAATAATATATAATTGATGCATTCATTTCCTATTAATTATTGAATAAATTAGTTTTGCCTCAAATCAATATGCTTCATCCAAATTGATATAAATCTAAATCAACTTGACCCAAGTCCGGACCAGTTCAGCCCTGTTTGAATATATGAGCAAACCCGATTGCCTTGGTTTGATCCGTTTGGGTTGATTGATCTAGTCCAACTCAACCCAATCCGGACCGGATCGATCTAAGCCAACCCGAATTTTGATCGGCTCTAGTCGGTGACCAACCTAGATCCGAACTAGTATGGTCCTACCTGAATCAACTTGGGCTATTCTCTTTAACCCAGATCAGTCAGCTTAGCCCAAACCATGCAATCCGACCTAACCCAAATTTGGACCGACATGGTCACCTTGCCTTGACCCAGTTCGGATAGGTCAACTCAGTCCCAAACCCATGCACAACTTGATATGGACCGGCCCAAGTCAATCAACCATTTTGACTAAACCGATCTAGTCTGGTTTGGTCAAACTAATCCAAATCCAAACAGTTCAACTAATCAAGTTGGATAGTTCAAGTTGGTTTGACGGATATGAACCTAAGTGGTTCGGTTAAACACGAAACCCAAATATAGTCAAATGGCTTTAAGTGATTAATTGTTTTTTATTCTTTTTGTAAAAATAATTCGGAGAAGTACGAATAGGCCCAATGTAGATTTCCAATTCCACTGCAGAGATATAAACATTCAAAATGTCAAAAACCCCCACTCTACACACCAATGCCCGCTCATGAATTGGCATCAATTCCAAACTGGCACCCACCCCAATTGTATTTTGGACCTAAAAATTCTGACCCTGGGCTGAACCGTCATCCTCCCAAAATAATTTGCATGTAATGTAATTTGAATTTTTAATAATTGTATAAATATCAACTACCATTACCACCAAGCTATTAACAATTTATTTGTCAAAAAGGAGTTAGTTCTTACTTTTTAATTTTAAGTACATAAATATAAAATTATTAAGTTGGATGAATTTGAATTGGGTCAAGACAGATTTCGGTTGGAACCCAACCCGTTTAATTTTATATAACTATGTCATTAATAGATTGGTAAATTAGATGAATTGGATTAAAGTTCAACTTAACCAAACCCTCACAATTGCCACCACCAGTAAAAACACGGTCAGATATAAAGATTTTTTTTCTGTTTTTTTGTTTTCTAGTTTTCGATACACAATTGGATTTGCCAATCCCACCATATGCATAAATAGGGGTGTAAGCAAGTCAAGCTACTTGTGAGTTACTCGACGAACTTGACTTGTAAATAATAGAGTTTTAATCGAGTCAATATTGGAGCCTCGTAATTTTATGATTCTCTTACTATTCAGATTATATAATTTTTCTATGGTGACAGTTGATGTTAATTAATAAGAAATAGTCTTTTTTATCATAATTATAATTGTATAATACAAGTATTTGAGCTTTTCTTTTTGGGATTCTACCACGAAGAGGTAACTTTTGACCTTATTAGCAACAAAAGGTAGCTCTTTTGTAAAATATCATAGACAAGGCATCTTTTGCAAGGTAATATCACAAAAGGGCACTAAAGCATGAGGTGCATCCGCCGTATGGGAAATGGTTTTGATGCATTTTTTATGACAAAACTGCCCCTCTTCCTCTTTTTTGGCAAAATGTATCGAAAACCCAAAGAAATCTCTCCGCCTTTCTCTTCCTGTTAATCGACTGAAGCTTTTGAAACCCCACTGTTCTTCTTCCTAAAGAAATGTAAAAACTATAAAAAATCTTAGTCCTCTCTCCATAATTGAAAATAAACCCTATTTAGCCATCATTCTTCGTATGAAACCCTGTTCATCTTTTTGTCGCCAATAAACTGCGGCATCTGCAATCCAAGAGCTTCTTCCCAAGAAGCACCCGACGGTGAATTTTTGGGCGTTAGCCTTGCTCATGACGTAAAAACCTGCCCAGTTTTTGTTGCTCGTGAAATCAGCCTTGGCCACGCGAAGGCCGGTGACGCTGACGTAACAGCCAAGAACGTATAGCATTACACGACCGACGTCACTGCGCAGGGCGAGCTCGCTCGCCAGGTAGAGGTCTCCTCCTTGTAATCTGATTTCGCTGAAGGTATCCTACTGGTCTCCCCCATTCCTTGATCCAGCCAAGGCTTGCTTCTAGCGCCATCTCCAGTACTGCTGGGTTTGCTATTTCGAGCCTTTGCTTGATCGTTGGTGAGCCCTCTGTTGTCAGTTCTGGGTACTTGTCTAAAATCTCCTTGGAGCAGCAGCCACCGCCTGAGAGATGGTCTTGTATTACCAGACCCATCTGCGGCCACCACAACACCAGCTCGTAAAGCTGCACTGGGTGATTGAAGAAGCTTCCGATTTGCAACAGAGACCCATGTCGGGAAGCCATCAGAAAGCAACCGACGATTACCAACTTCATCAATGAAGAGAGCAAAGTATATTTCCTCCCTTCTAAGAACACTAAGGAGGTTTTTAATGGAAAGGGTAATTTTGTCTTGTATAATATAAATTCAATGTATATGTCATACGGTGAATACACGTCATATATCAGTGCCCCTATCGGTTATAACCCCTACCCCTTTCCGTTTGGGGGTTTGATGATTCAGTCCACCCCTAGGTGGAGCTAGGATTTCCTAGGGTAGACTGAATCCTCCGTGTATTGATACTAAATTTATGGGCAGGATGTAATCCAAATTTCTGAAGGAATTGAGTATTTGGTGATACGCACCGCACTGATAAACCCTCTCCCTAGAATGGGTGGTGGAAAGAATCGAATCTGTATCAATACTTGAATATCACATCAAGTCAAGTGGAATAACAAGTTTTTGAGTCAAATCAAGTTCAAGTAGTGCTATGTATATTAACTCAGCTGACTTGATTACACACCTATCCCATAACCCCCAGTCCCCACCCACACTCACACACAATCGTGGCTGGGGTAATCCCAGCAGAGACCCGAATTCGAATCTCATTATTACCACTACATTGAAAAGTTAATATGTATTGTGTTCGGTGCCAAAAAACCATTAATTTCCTGTTACATAGTTACTTTATTATTTCATACGTGTCATTCAAAAGGAATAGCGTTTCATGGGGTTGACCAAACACTGCTTGAGTCACACTCGCTAAGTTTCAAGTTTCAACAAAAGTACTTCCTTTATTCAGCATGGGCTCTCCCGCTCGATCACCACCCTTTTCCTTTATTTTCTGAACTACTCTTTTTTTTTTTTTTGTTCTTCACGTAGAAAGACCTCTGAATTGGGCAAGTGAAAAGGAATCTCATCCCATAAGCCCTAGGTAAAGCATATTCTACCATCATATTAATGGAGTCACTTCGGTCAATACATTTTTGTTTAGGTGAATGATGTGTGTGAAACAGAGTGTGTCAACGTCATTTGTCAAGTGGAAAGCAAAAAAGCAAAACTCCGATGGCAGCAATAACAATAACAACAGCAAGAGAACAAGCAACATTATTGTCCAAACACATTACATGGGGGAGAACCAAAGCAGAAAAGGAGCAAGGCAATCAAGTGTACGGTGTTTTGAATCCTTTCTGCATTTCCTTTTCCTATTTTCTTTTCTCCTTTCCTTCTCCTCTGTGTGGTGCGTTTGTTCGCATTGGTGTAAAGATCACAAAGATAGGAGTCATTAACCAGAGAAAAGAGCAAAGTAAATCTGATTTTTCACCTTTTTCCCCTCTTGTACTTGGCGCGTTTGTTGGTGTTGATGCGATGATCACAGTGATAGCTAGGAGTGATAAACTGGAGAAAAGAACGAGTGTACAATAATTTTATCACCCCCAATCCCCCATAAGGCTGTATTTGTTTTTGGTGTTAATGCAAATTGACATAAAATTCTATCGTTGGTTTGCAATATTTCTACGTGTTTGTTTTTACTGTAAATACAAACTGGTATAAAACTTCATATCTAATTGTATTTTCATGCATTTGTTTTTAATGTAAAAGGTTTATTCCATCGATGTATTATTTACATTAATTGTTACATAAAAAAAAATAGTCCGACGATTCATTAAAATTTTAAACTGAATTTTACATCAATAAAATTTCCACCGAAAACAAACACAACTTAAATGATAAAAGATTTAGACACTAAGGTTGTATTTGATTGCAACCTGCAATGCAAATTATTTGAGTGTAAACTATGACCTATTTTTGTTTCAAATTTTATTTTATTGCCGTAGAAACGAAGTAAATTATGACATAGAGCAGAATAAAGTAAAACCCAAAATAAAATTAAATGAGAATTTGCATTTATTTCATTTATATTGGTACAAATTTATTTATTTTCACTGCAACCAAACAGAGCTAAAGTCCATTCAATGTGTGTTCAGCGCAAACATGCGAGATCAGTCGAGATCAGTAGGCATAAAGTTGTAAATGAGCGCTTAAAAACTTCTTTGGCACCTGTCCGTTAAGATTACCCTTGAAAAGATTCTTGTGCACAAATAACGGGTGGAGAGAATTTGAGATTCTTGTGCACAAATAATGGAGCATTCAGGAGTCAGCCTTGGATATATGAAACCAATCAAATAATTGTTTTCGTCCTTTTTCTCTGGCCCAGATCTTCTTCATTGATCATGGACGGTCCCATCTCCCTTTGATGCCAAAGGAATCCAGAGTGCAGTGCAGACATCTCCCCCAGTCACCACGTGGCCCGTGACATGGAGGGCATTAAGCGAAAGTGGTCCATCATCAATTATCACGGCATTAATTTATCATTTCATTATTCACATATTAGCCCTACGCGTGCTTATCGATCAAATCATCAAGCAAGCCATAGCCATCCCATCTTGTCGAGTGATCTGTGGGCAGAACAACGTAACCCTCTGCGATATTTTTTTTACTAGAATCCAGAAAAACCAGAGCAACCATGCTTTAAAATGGAATGCTTCATTTGTTTTCATTGAGAAAGAACAAATGATAATGGGAGGACTACATGTATATATTTGGCATTAACAGTATATATTTCTGTAAATTAACTCCAAGCTTCAGCTGATAGGGGCCAAATATGTTAGCCAATAATCCCCCCAGAAGACTGGCCTCCTGAAATTTAAAAGACGACGTCGGTGACATAAGAGGTCACTAGGAACAATCCAAGTAAGTAGGAACTCACCCAATTCTGTTTGTGTGGAATGTTTCTTCCTTGTTTTTTCTCTCTTCCTTGTTTCTTTCCTCTTCTTCTCTGAGTGGATGACGAAAGAACAACAGTTGATCTGATAGTTTTTGCAAATTAGACGGACAATAATACATACGTTAGGAACGGCCCTCATTCGCTCCCTAGAAAGCATATACTTAGTGGGAACCATCCAAATTTGGTAGGATTCTTCCCCTACGGTCCTCTCTCTCTCCCCCTGCCTAGCAAATAGCCAAATAGCAATGAAAAACCACTCAAGGAGCACGGACCGGTCCGCAGAATTTGAAAAGGCAAAGTCAAAAAAAGCTGCTTAATCAGCCCAAAAGAGAAGCTCTATAAAAACTGGGAACCGCCTACCATTAACCCAAAGCATTAAGGAAGAGCAAACTTCCATCGTTTATCTAAGTTTGCGAATATGGACGTCGAAAAAGTCTTCCACATGACAGGAGGATTTGGAGACACGAGCTATGCTGCAAATTCATCACTCCAGGTTACAATCTCTCTCTCTCTCTGCCGTTATACTTTTAGTCCTTCTATTAGCTTACTCTCATACCATAATTCATTACTTACATGTTTGCTCTGCACCAGAAAAAAGCCTTTGACATGGTGAAGCATATCACCATCAACACCATCCTGGACCTTTATATAACAACAAGTACACAGGGCTTGGCGGTAGCTGATTTGGGTTGCTCATCGGGCCCTAATACTTTATCAGTGATAAGAGAAATTATTAATGCTGTTGAAGGGATGCGTCGTAGGATCTTACGTCCGAGGACAGAATTCCGAGTGTTTTTGAACGATCTCCCAACCAATGACTTCAATTCAGTCTTCATGACCTTGCCAGATTTCTACAAGGAGCTTAAGAACGGAACGAGTGATGACGGCACTCCGTTTGTTTTCATATCTGGAGTTCCCGGATCTTTCTATGGGCGCCTTTTCCCCCGCAGTAGCTTGCATTTCATTCATTCCTCCTATAGTTTGCATTGGCTCTCTAGGGTAAGTAATCCGACCCCTCCTATCATGTCAACCACCTACCTGCTGCAAAATACTGTGACAGGTTTGTTTTCTGATCAGTAGTTCAATTATTTTTAGCCACGTGGTGTGATGACTTGGTGTGGTCTGTGGTGTAGGTTCCTCCGACACTTTATGATGAGAAGGGGCAGTCGAAAAACAAGGGGCAGATATACATATCCAAAGCAAGCCCCCCATCGGTATCGGATGCCTACTTGATGCAATTTCGAGAGGACTTGTCACTGTTCCTGAAATCAAGGTCTGAAGAACTGATGCCAGGAGGAAGAATGGTTTTAGTCTTTCTGGGAAGAAGAGGTCAAGATCATCTTGAAAGGGGCAACGCTTTCCTGTGGGAACTCCTCGCCCGATCGTTGGCTGTTATGGTCGCTCAAGTATGCACCGTTAAATAGTTTAAATGCACAACCCTCACAACTACTATATATATAAATCGCCATTAATTAATCACGCTCAGGAGCTCAGTTCGTGTGGCTAATGATGTATAGTTTGTATGTTTGTGTTTGTGTAGGGAGAGGTGGAGGAAGAAAAACTGGATTCTTACGACGTTCATTTCTACGCCGCATCCAAAGATGAAATAGAAGATGAAGTGAGAAGAGAGGGATCCTTTGCTATTGACTGCCTGCAAATGTTCGAAATAGAAAGGGAGGTCAAACATGGTATGAGCTATGGACAGATTGTGGCGACGACGGTTAGGGCCATCCAGGAATCTATGATTTGCCATCATTTCGGGGAAGGAATTGTGGACAGATTGTTTGAAATCTATGGTAGAATGGTCGATGACGAAATGGCTAAAGAAGAGATCAAGCCCATCACTTTTATTGCAGTTCTGAGAAAATCGATTTGAGTCAAGAAAACTTGTTTTGTTTCAGCATATATACTCGATCTTACCTGTATCCTATCGTAGTATTTGTGGGTTTGCAACATGGAAACTGACAAGTGTTGAATTTGGAATTGAATTGGGAATCCATTATTAATTAAGGTTGACAACTAGAGACCAAACAGAATTTCTTTCATTGATTACCATTAATTACTAGATTGTTAAAGCGACTAATGGTTTATTGCCCTCATATTATACTCAGCACTACTCTTAATCTACCGTCTCATGCAGGGGTCAAATCCCAACCCTTGCCCCATTGATTGGTGCAATCGAGAATGAGTCCAGTCCTAATAAACCTAACGAAGAAGAAAACTTAAACTTTGGTTTAAGGCTTTAATTTCGAGTTGTCGGAGGTGATGGACGAAGTGAGAAGAGCAATCAGATAGTATTTGTCAATAGGGCGGTGCCAAGTTATAAGGATAAGGCCGCGCTTCAAGACCGAGGAGTAGTTAGAGGCCCAAGGAGATATCCCTGTGTAAGTACTCCGGCGCTCAAGTCAGTAGGAGGTGATGGATGGCCGGGCCGAACTAGAGGGATGTTGGTCCGAGCAGAATAACAGTATAAGTGTCGGAAGTTGGGATCCCTTACCTTGAGTATGGAATACTTTTTTATACCCCGCGGAGTTGTCTTCCCCACTCCTCTTTATTCATAGTTACGCTTATCCGCACTACTGGTATTTGACGTGGCTGAGGGGATAAGATGGGAGGCCACACTAATAGCGTAGCCCGGCCTAAGCCGCGGAATGAGTATGTGTTGCGGAGCTAGCCGAGCTATACCGATGTGGCTGGGTTGGCCAGGCGATGACTGGGCGACTATGTGTCTCTTTGGACCAGCTCATCCATGACCCCAATACCTACCTATGTTGGTGTTTGTTTATGGGTGTTCATGTTTTAAGTTGTGTTGTGTGCAGTGTAGTTTTGGTTTTGTGCCTATAGTTGGCTTTGGATGATGCTTGTCTGGAGTTCAGAATCTTTGGATTAGTTGATCATCGCCCCAAGCTGTTGACCAGGCTGTGGACCTAAGTTGTATACTTGGTCTAGGCATCGATGTAAATGAATGTATTTGACACTTTATTTTTGAAAACACAAATGTATTCAACTCTAATTAATCGTTTATGCACCCTATACCATATCCAAAGCATGCTGCAAAGCCTAGACTTTGTAGCTCTCATAGTTAAAAGATGCATTGAGATTTTGACATAAGATATGGGTAACCCGAAGACCATTTGGCAGAAGTACGTCTTTTCGTGTGTCGTTTCAGGTCTTTCCGTGCGAAATTAAAACGCAAAAGATGTAATGGGCTTCTCGCATCTTTTCGACGTCCCATCTTCTAGCAGTTAGATCTTTCAAATGCCAAATGGAAATAGACCAATTTTCAGTCTTCCCAATTTGTAAATAGCCGAAAGATTGCATGAAAAGACGCACCAAACATGCCCTTTATAACTTTACTGGTTGAATGGAAGACATATTGCATAAGCATCTAGAAAAAACCTTGTATGGGAATCAATCTACTGATGATTAAACATGCTATCAATGACAGACTGATGCTTAACCCAATAGATTTGAAGTTTTGAACCAGATCAATTGTTGCTGCCTTCTACCAAATATCAATTCATGATATTGGAATTAACCTTTTACTAAAAGACTGACGCAGCGTGGAAGCAATGAAAAACCGAGCTGGCTATGCAAGCACCGGGTGATCGCTAGCTCCTAGCGAAGAACACCGAATTCTCTAGGAGAGAGAAAAGGTGGCGAAAATTGGAAGAAGAGAACTTGAAGAAATTCTGAAATTATGAACTATGAATTGATGATTAATTCTGGGAAAATAGCAATATTTATAATACATTCAGAAATTGTAAAAGAACTAGGAAAGAACATGAATCTTGATCTTGATCTTGATCCTCTTGGGTTGTCTAGATAAGGTCGAACCCTCTTAGAATTCTTGGGCTTGATCTTCCAGCGTCCGATCTCCCTAGCTCTCCTTATGCATGAATCTAGGAGTCTTGGATTTCTTGATGCTTYTTGGAGTCTTTGTTGGATCTTGATTGGAGTCTTGAATTCTTGATAATCTTGGAAGARTCTTGATAATCTTGGATTCTTGATAAGTCTTGGAGTCTTGGATTAAATCTTGATGGATCTTGAATTATCCTTTCTTGACTTATCTTGGACTCTTGTCCTTATCCTAGGAACTGCCGCCCCTAGGGGTGAGATGGGCCTTGGATGGGCCTCCATCGAAGACCCATGTCTTCATTTCGATTTTGGACTCTGAAAAAAGCATATTCTCGCAAAGTATATAGGATCAGTGTCACAAGTTCACAACTGCTGGGAACATAGTATGTGGAGTTTGCGCTTCTTAGAAACACTCTTGCGTCTTTCCAATTTGTGGCCATAATAAGTTGGATCCAGGAAAAATAATATGTGCTTCTCACACTAATTATATCGAACTTTAAACTTCAACCGGAAAAGTTCTTCTGAAATATAATGTCGAATAGTTTTGGATTGCCTTTTAAGAAATAAGAATCATGCAAAGCTGGAGCGTAGATGGAGATTGTGGATCAAAGAAGGGGGCAAGGTTGGAGGGGAAGGACGAATATCATCAAGACCTTGTAAGTCGTTATCAGCAGACGAGAAATTTTTTAACTGGTAATGTGCCATTATATAATTCTGGATTTCATAAACTATGGACAATGTAAGTACGAGAGAGAGAGAGAGAATGGATGTATGGTGGAATGAGGATGTTGAGATTTGAGAATGAATGCACCATCCTCGTCCTCTTTGGTTGGGGGGGAGACAACTGTTCACATGTTTCGGCACTGCTAGAATTAGATATTGATCCTCACGTTTATGATTTATCCACTAGGAGATGACAGATATGAGCGGCTTATGGTGACTTGGGTCCAGTCTATTAAGGCTAAAGAGTGCTCCTGCCTCGGAATGCCTAAACAAAGATCCGAAGACTCCAAACCCGGATCGGCTTCACTCCTAGTGGATAGGTTACTCTGTCTTTTCCTTTCTTTCCCTACCTTTTCCTTCAAACTAAACATAGTTTAAGGTTAAACTCTGTCTCATAAATCGTAATCCCAGGCCCGAGTATAGAATCTCAAATCTGGAAAAAGATGGGAATCGGATCAGATTCACCAAAATCCCAATCCAATCCTATTATTGAAAATTGTATTCGGATTTGAATTTGAATACTAATGAAGTGGGATCAGATTTAGATTTAATCCAACTCTATTTTGATTTTTAAATTAGAAAAAAAAATTAAAAAGTTAATTATTTTTCAACTTTTATATATAATAAATGGGAAATTGTTTAAGACTCTCCATGGATTTTAAACATTTCTCTTAAACTCACCACAACTTTTCAAAATGTTTAAAGCTCACCATGTTAGTAAGTTTTTATTTTCCAAAACTCACCTCTTGTTACTGCACCACTAATGCTTCTTAATAGAGGTGTCCATGTCAGCATAAATAACAATTTTCATGACCAAACTACCCTTGAATGGTGAGTTAGAGGAAAAATGGTCTTTTCAGTTTTCAATTTTCTTGTTTTTTTTTAATTTTTAGTGTTTTGTTATAATTTCTGTTTTTTTACATTTTTCTATTTTCTATAATCTATAAAATTTCATGTATTTTTTGTTACTCATTTGCAATTTCTGTGTTTTTCTATAATTTTTGGTATTTTTTCTACAATTTTTATTTTCTGATTCTGTTTTTCAATTCCTATAGTTTCTATAATTTGAAAATAATTTTTTATTTTGTTTGCAATTTCTATATTTTTTTGTAATTTATATATTTTTATGTATTTTATATTTGAAAATATTTTTTGAACTTTTTCCTTTTTTCATGTATAAATATTAAAATGGTAATATATTAACACCTGTTAATTTATTTTGTATATATTTTATATTTTTCTATAGACGTTAAAATGGTAATATATTAACACTCATTTGTCTGTTTAATGTCAAGTTAGTGACATGGTGAGTTTTAGACATTTTGAAAAATTGTGGTGAGTTTAAGAAAAATGCTGAAAGCTCATGGTGAGTTTTAGACAATTTTCCATAATAAATTAATATAAATACAATGTACTGAATTTATTTATATATATATAATATAAAAAATATTTTAAATATAACTATATAAATTTATATATTATTATAATATAATTGAATTAAATGGAGTCAAATCCCAATTCGATTTAAATGCATAAATACACCATCCAAATCCTGGATAATCAGGGGGCTGAAGAATTTAGGATAACACTAACAGGCCTAATTTAGATCTCATTTTTTGCTGCATTTTTTTCTGTACTTGCGTCAAATCTGACAATCGATTGGTACAGAAGGAAATGCAGGAGTTTCGGACTTCTTTTTTAAGATCTGCCAAAACAAGATGTGTACAATGGGTTACACACCCAATCAAAAACGAACACGTCAGCTGACAGATCCAGGTAGAGCGGTGGTGATTATAAAATCTATATTTTCATTTATTCCCATATACCACATGGCAACTTTGGCAACCTCCATTATACTATACTACGGGTGTCAATAGTGGTTTTGGGTTGGACCCCTTCCAAATCAAAATCAATTTGGATGGATTACACATACCAGATATATTGAATTGGACCAGTTTAGACTTAATGGTCCAAAGTATTTATTGTATTGGATTGAACCTGGTTCATCCATATTGGATTTGGTTGGATTGAGCCAATATATTATCCATTGATAAAAGATAAGAATATAGGTGTCAATGGACCAGATTTGTGTTGGAACCAATCTAAATTAAAGCAAATTTCAATAAATTGAATGGTCCAAAATATTCATTGGATTGGACTTGATCCATTTGCAATGGACTCACATTGGACTGAATCTAATTAGACCAAATCCAGTCCAATTGGCACCCCTACATTAAACCCATCTCCATTTGTGGGTCTCCAAAGCCCATGGAACCGACGAATACCTGAGAGCATGGTGAGATACGAGACAAAATAATATGGCTTTGTTCACTAAGATCTGTCGGCGTTTTCTCATGGAAGTGAACTCAGTGAATCAGGGGCTATCTAGTTTCGTTGCCGTTGTATTAAAAAAAGAAAAAAAAAACTATTATACGGTAATCAT